GGAAAGTTGATGCCATTGTCCTCCCATTGTATTGACTGTATTTGCGGGGAGGGGGGGAATGGCCTGGTTAGGAGGGCTTTGGCAGCCTAAAGACATGACCCAAAGAAATTGACTTATGCCACTTGGGTTATCAAATCAATTAAGCCAAATTACATCTCTCAAAAGACTGACTTGAGTCCTGGCTGGTTTGGCTCAGTGGTTGGAGCATCGGCCCAAAGACCAAAGGGTTTCTGGTTCAATTCCTGGTCATGGGCACATACCTGGGTTGCAGGTTTGATCCCGGGCCCTGGTTGGGGGAGGCAACGAATCAATGTCTCTCTCACATTGATGTTTCTCTCTCTCCTCTCCCCCCACTTCCACTCTAAAAAAAAAAATCCTCAGGTGAGGATTAACAACGACAAAAACAGGCTCACTTGAGTTCATTACTGGGGTGATCACACAGGGATCAGTGGCATGTTGCCAATGGGCTGGTGTTGAAGGAGGAGATCAGAGTGAAAGATAGAGGCGGAGAGATGAAATTGTGATGGCATGCTCTCACCAAGGAGTGCCAAACTGTTCACAACGGAGGAGAAAGGAATTAGATTTTCAATCTGTTTGCCTTTGGATAGAAAGTAATGCAGCTAATAAAGGATCAGATCCCCAGTTCTGTGATGGAGCAGAACGAGTAGAGTTCTACCAGTTTTCAAACACTGAAGTGAGTTCGGCTGATCTGAAGGTAATGCCTGAGGAACTCGAAGAGCAAAAGAAGAAAGAGAGAAGGGCATAAAGGAAAGCATTGAAAATTTTCTGGCTGGAAAACTAACCTCATGCTAAAAACACACACACACACACAAAAACACACATAAAAACACCAAGTTGTTTCTTCTTGTAGCTACATTTCTGCCCTGGAAAGATTTATGAAAGCAAAAGAAGGGCCGAGCACATAACATAATTAGGAACAGGCCACCTTGCTTAGTTATTCTAGCCGAGGCTTTAGTGTAAGCCAGGTCTTGTTCACCCTTCTGCCACGTCCTGTTTCTCATTGTGTCCTCAGGACCCCGCTGGGGTCTGGCACGTGGGATTCAGTGTCTGCTTATGTCTTTCCCTTCTGTCTCAGCAGCTTCATGTCGACGTAGCAGCCCAGGCAAACGCTGGAGACAGGCAAAGGGTGACTGCTCTCTGTTAAGAATCAGGAGACCTGGGGACACTTACTTATGTGACTTAGAGGAGCTAAGGCCTTAATTTCTGACTCTGTGAAATGAAAACAATTTTTGAATAGAATGAATAGTGAGCAACTTAAACAAAGGGGTCAACTCAGGAAAAATAAAAATATTCGTAGACTTTTCTTTCTTTTTATTGGGAAGTAACAACCCAGCAGCAGCGCTTTCATCTTTCACTCCGAAATTAGCTTTTGGGCTGTGGATTGCCCACCACTGGACTGGACAATTTCCAATTTCTCTTCTAGATTCATTAGGTTTTTGGTTCTCTAATGGAAGTGGCTTTTGTTCACTGCTTCTTTGTACTATTTCTAGTTGATTCTTTCCTTAACATCATCAGAAGGCTATTTGGCCAAAGGTTTTCCATTCTCAAGAGGCTCTTGAAAATCACTTGGTTACAAATAACATTGTCCTATTTTATTTACACATACAAGCCTTAAAGGCAACTATCCTAGTTCTGCAATTACTACAGAGAAAAATTAAAAAGTGTTAAAAATTTAAGAGCTAAAGTTAATGGTTTC